TCCTCCTGCATTCAGTCCCAGGCCTACAAGTGGAAGTACCCCTTCCTTCCTCCTTTCACCTTCCTTCCTTCCCTCCCTCCCTCTTTCTTCCTTCTAGCCTTCCTCCCTTTCCATTCTTTCTCCTTCCTTCCATCTTCTCCCCCCCCTTCTTCTTTTCCTTCCCCCCTCCCTCCTTCCTTCCTCTCCTTCCCACTCTCTCCTTGGGAGGGGACAAAACCCAAGGGCTAAGGGGGTGGGGGGCAGCAGAGACCAAATAAAGTCAGTAGATCTTATTAAAACCTTCCTATTTGTTGGATCACATTGCTGCGAAATTATAAACCAAATCAGGGGAACATTTTGCAACCAAGCGTGCTACAAGAAAAGGGGGGAGGGAGGCAGCCCTGCCATTTTCCCAGTTTTGCAAGGAATGAGAAATGGTGCTTTAATCCGAAGCGACTGCAATCGGAACCACAGACAGGAAAGAAAGAAAGAAAGATCCTTGTAGCACAAAACCCACCTTTGCATGGTTGTGAGAACATAGGTAAAACAAAAAAAAAGCACAGAGTCCCTCCACCCTCTTAATGGGACTCAGCATGACTCCGATTTGAAAACAAGCACACGGAGCTGGGCGGGGAGATAAGCACCTTCATTTGCATTCTCTGCGACCATGATGCTTTGCGAGGAACAATCCCCAGGGCTCCCCGTGACTTTTTGCAGATTTTTCCTTCCGTGCTTAAAAAAAAATCGGGACTTTTTTAAAATGCCGCGGGACGCGGGACAAATTGTTCAAAAGAGGGACTGTCCCACCAAAAGTGGGACATCTGGTCACCTTATATCGAACAGCTGGTGGATGAGGAGGAAAGATGGATCAGTGGCTTACAGTTTCTGTTCCCAAGACACTCTGATACCACAAAATTGGAGCAATTGGAGGCTGTTTGTATGTTTGGGCTTCAAATGAGTTGGTTGGAGAGGAATCATACCTTCTTGTTGAGTTCTGTGCGGTGGTGGTAGCCCTTCTGGCCAGCCCGGGCAATTGAGTAGCCCACCCGGGCAGGGTGCCAGGCTCCAATGCAGGCAACCTTCCGCAGGCCTTTGTGAGTCTTCCTTGGGAGTTTCTTGGTATGCCAGCGACTCGTCACCCCTGCAGAAAGGCAGCCTTGAGGTTAGAGACTTAGATGAACCTCTGTCTGAGGCAGGGATGGGAAAATGGTGGTCCTCCAGATGCAGCTGAACTGCCCTCCTTCACCATTAGCCACACAGTTGGGGCTGCTGGAGTTTTAGTTATAGCTACCATACCATATTGTAATTGGGATGGGAACTTCCAACACTCTGTGGATGTTAAGTGAGTTTCCACAATTCTATGGCCTTTTTTGCTGCTGGCCATTAAGCAAATCACCATAGCTGTTAAGTGAATTACATGGTTGTTAAGTGAATCTGGCTCCCCCCTATGGGCTTCCTCCATAGACTCTGCTTGTTGGAAGCTATCTGGGAAAATCGCAACTAACAATCACAGCCTGTCGAGATTGAACCATGTTGCTTCTTTCAAACCTTATCATATTCAACTTGTCCATGCACTGGGGGGAGGGAAGGGTGGGATGGAGTGCTGAGAATTTGTGCATGGACCATGAGATCTGGAAACCATCAAGGTCAAGACTGTTTGAGAAGGAGGTGGACTGTTTCCATAACAAAAAGACATCTCGTAACTGGACAATGTGATCACCCACAGGAGGGGAGAAAAGGAAGCTGTTATTTAACTAGATGAGCATTTGCACTGGAAAACCAGTTCTGATTCTCCAGTACCAAAATGGTATATCCAATAAAGTTTCACTTTTGGGTATCTGGATTTTGAACATGTAACAGTGAGGATGCTGCAACTAGGTGTTAAGTCACTTTCTGCAATGCCATTGTAACTTTATATCACTAAATGAATATGTGTAAGCCAAGGACTACCTGCAATATCTAGAAGGACAAAACAATCTCGCATTCGAATGGAGAGGGAATGAATGAAGCATTAAAAGAAGACATCTGAGAAATGAAAATCAGGGGGAATTCAAAATCCTTCCTTTGGTATAAAGCTTCCAAGATTCCATGATTGTATTCTACCCTACAATAATAAAGAGCATCTCTGTAATGTCAGCCATTCCTTTTTCCTGACCTGGCTTTCCTTGATTGAGGATCAGCATCCTTTTATTAGAGAAGAAAAGAACAAATCATAGCCGAATTGTGGAAGTGTATTGTAGGCACTCTCACAAAATGGCTGCCCTGGTTTTTATTTCCTGTCTATGCCAACAGTCCTGCCAGCTGCCACAAATTGGTTTTCCCCAAAATGCACTCTACGAACTGGCTTTTAATAGCAAGCTGACTGAACACAACATTGGGTTCAACCACTCATTAAAGGGGCCATTGCCTCCTTTGGGGCTTAGTAGTTTCCTGACCCTCTTCTAAAATATTATTCCAGCAAAAAACATGGGATGCTTCAAGCCAAACTTTAAATCAATGTTTCTCAACTTTGGCAGGTTGAAGATGTATGATTTCAACTCCCAGAATTCTCCATCCAGTCATTTTAAAAATCTTTAAATAATTTGAAGTGGGGTTGAGGGGGAAACCTATCAGGCCCCAGGGAAAGTGTGGACATTTGTGGTCAGAAATAAAGAAAAAGCTCCTTTTCCCCATTATCTTGAATGGCTTCCAAAGTCTTTCATCTGGAATGCAATCTGTAGTCATACCACTTCCTATCAGCCTTTGATCCAAGAGGTTTCCAGATTTCAGGTCTACTCCCTCCTACCTTTCATCCCATGCCCTTTGGTGACTCCAATGACATCGATCATCTCATTCTGGCTGAAGACACTGTGCACAGACACCTGCTTCTCCAGCTTCTCCCGAGCCCAGTCAACTTTCTCTGCCACAGAGCCCCCATTGAGCTGGATCTCCATAATATGTGCTTTCTTCTGCCGCATTGGCAGGAGCTTCATCTGCAACCAAAAAGCTCAAAAATTGCACCATGCAGCAGAGATGGCAAAGGTTCATGTTCAACACTTAACTGGCCCCAAAGGTAAGGTGCAGGAGTTCTAGCCTCTCTGAACCTTCCACCCGCTTGCAGAATTTGGCTACTGCAAAGGTTGGGATTTTGTGGCTATCGTCTCAGGACACACTTGAGAAGTTTAGTATGTGGGAATAGGTAAACCTAATTGTCTTTGGGAGCAGGGAGCAGCACTTCATTTTGGGTTCATGTGCACTCTCATCTGGCCAACTGCATTGTGGGAGTACCAATGTTCAGTGAAAAGGGGGACCTCCTCGATCTTCTCAGCAGGAGAGTTGAGGCTATAGAAATTGGTTTGTAATGGAAAGTTCCAATACATAATTCATGTTCCTCCATTGGCTGCAGGGAGCAATTAGGCTACCATTCGGATTTGGCTGCTGACAGACCCACCACTACAAGCACCTCAAACCAAACCATGAGAGGGAGACCCTTCAGCAGATGCTCTCCAGCCTTAAAGAGGGCTAGCATCCTCCCAAACGTCAACATGCCATGTTCCAAGCAGGCCCTACATGGTGGAGAGAGGGCTTCTCAATTGTGCTGCTCTCTGGGGTCTCCCAGCCTGGGCCTTTCCTGGAGTGGGGGCTCTGAGGATCAGATTCATGATCCTCCTTTACCTCCCTCTCCTTTGATGAAGTATTCCAGAGAGGAGGGCTAACCTGGAACAAAAGAGATCAGGAGGCACAAAAGAGGTCTATGAAGTTACACGTAGCTCAGAGAAGGTGGGAGAGATGTTTTCTTCCATCTCTTCCAATGTTATATCCCTGTTGTCTCAGGAACATCAGGGCAGTGAGATTTAGGGCTACAAGCGTATGAGTCCTATTTTTTCATTTCCCCAGGAGTCATCCAATTATTGCTGTGTCAGATTAATAGTAAAGGGGAAAGGCCTTGTATCAATTATGTGGGGATAATCAAGCACTGGATTTGTGAGGGCCTAGAAAAGAGGAAAGCTATTACTAGAAGCCAAGATGGGTTTTCTAAAAACAGATCATGTCAGACAACCTTGTTTGTTGTTTTTGGACTTATTTGACAGAGTGACTAAATTGGTGGACTAGGGAACTCCTGTGGACATAATTTACTTCAAGAAGGCATTACAGAAGGTGGACCACAGCCTGCCTCTTGGTAAGATTGAACAATGTGAGATAGACAGCTTCACCATCAGATGGATTCATAACTGACTGACCAACTGCCTCAGCATGCAGTTCTCAATGAGATTATATTTAAATGGAGAAAAGCAAGCAGTGGGGAACCACAAGTTCCCTTCAATATCTTCATAAACAATTTGGATGAGGGAATAGAAGGGGAATTCATCAAATTTGCGGACAACTCCAAGCTGGTGGGTGTAGCCAAAAGTTTAAAAGGAAGTTTCAAGATCCAGAAGGATCTTGACAGACTTGAACACTGGGCTCTATAGCACAAAATGCAATTCAGTGGTGGGAAAAGTACAGTTTTACATGTAGGCAAGAAAAAACAAATGCACAAATACAGAATAGGTAGTATGTGACTGGACAGCATCTAAGTGCCCTAGTGGATAACCACTTAAATGTGCTGCAGCTGCCAACAAAGCCAACACAGTCCTAGGCTGCATCAACAGAGAGATAGTATCTAGATCATATGAAGTGTTAGTATTGCTTTATATTGCAGTGGTAAGACCACAGTTGGAATATTGCATCCAGGTCTGGTCACTATGATATAAAAATATATTGAGACTTTAGAAAGAGTACAGAAAATAGCAACAAAGAAAAAAACAAGCAAGCAAAAAGTCTGGAGGCTAAACCATACAATGACTGGTGGCAGAAACTAGATACGTCTCATCTAGCGAAGAAAAGGTCTAGGGGTGACATGATAGCAGTCTTCCAATATCTGAGGAGCTGCCACAGAGAAGTGGCAGTCAACTTCTTCTCCAAAGCACCTAGAGCTGGACAAGGAGTAATGAGTAGAAGATTATTATAGAGCGATCAAACCTAGAATGAAGGAGAAATTTCCTGTAAGGGAGAAAAGTTAATCTGTGGAACAGCTTGCCTCCAGAGGTTGTGTGTGCTTCATCCTTGGAGATCTTCAAGAAAAAAATGGACAATCATTTGTCTGGAATGGTATCAGAACTCCTGCTTGGACAGCAGGTTGGACTGGAAGACTTCCAAAGTCCCTTCCAACCCCATTACTCTATGTTCTGTGTACTATGTGAGGCTGCTATGAAGATGCTGTAGTGAGGAAATTGCTTAAATTAAAATGGTGTAATTTCTTGCCGTCAGTTGTGATCAGTTAGTTTGAAAAGAGATCTGGGTGAATACTTGGAGGACCAGGCTCCTAAGGACCACTAAAACTAGTGGCTCTTGTCTCCCCTCCCCTTGGCATCAGGCCATCAAGGCTCCCACCCTTCATTGTTGGCTTGGGGATTTCCTCAATGCCTCCAGTGGGCCATTGTGTGACCCAAATGCTGGACTAGTGAGGCTACCATTAATTGAGTGACTCTTGAAAGCAACAGCAGTTTTTTTTCCCCAAACCAAGGCAGAAGCCTTCCCAACCCCCAACTGAGAGCCTGGTTTAGTGACCTGAAAAGCGGGGCTGTGCGTGTGTGAGGTTTGGAGCACTTCAACCAGGACCTAGACTTCGCAGTGCTGAACCACAAATTACTGAATTATCTGTTCTGGCTTCATTTAAACATGTTGTTTTTGTCTTTCTTAATCCAAACCAGAAGTGAGAGATAGACATTCTGTGCATGCTCAGAGGGACTAGTAACCTCAGCTATCCTTCAGGGAAAAGTATTCACATTCTGAAGATAAAACCCAGGTTGCACAGCAGACAACATCTGGCAAGGAAGACTTTGTCCAATCAGGCAGAAACAACCAGTAACAAATCATGAGTGAGTTGAGCAGCCAGTGGTCCAGACAACCCTCCTAGATGTGTTCGCCTGCATGATTCCAGAGACATGTGGGAAATATTCACCTGGGTGTGCACAATGACACGGATGATCTTACAGTATTTCTTCATGGACACAAAGTCCTTCTCCAGCTGCTTCTTCCCAGCCTCATCTTGCCATTTCTTGCAGTACTTCGTGAACGCCTTCTTTTTGCTCTTGTGCCTGAAAAGAAAAGAGAAAATCAGGGAGAAATCAGATCCAAGGACAACAGGAATTATTTTCAACCAGGCTTTGGCAAGAGCCTGTCCTGATATCCACCGCCAGCCTCCATGGCTTGAGAGCAGGATAGCAAGAAGCTCCTTGCTCCAGTGGGGGGTTTACCAACCCACGGACAGTGGGGCTCAACTTCAGATTCTTCAGGTAATGGTTGGCTCCTCACTTCCCAGAAGGGCAAGTCCAATCCAGATGTTACATTTGGGTAACAGCCATAATTCTGAGACTGGTTTATGAAAACATTGAACTGATATTCTGATTTAACATGGAGGTTTCCAATTCAGGGCTGAAAGCAGCTAAACAACAAACCATTTTAGTGAAGTCTCACATTGTATGAGAATTCAGCTTTATTTTCATCATGCTGAATGTACTTAAGAAAGATACTATTCCCTCCTCCATCACAGTAAAAATTGCAATTGGTAGCCACTCTTGGGATGACAGAAAAGGTCATACCAAAGGCTGGAGGAAAATACCTACAATCTTGCAGAACCACTGATTTTACTCTTCCAAAACATTGGGTATGTATTCATAATTACACTTTTAGCCCACAAAGAATTTCCAAAGCACAGCTGTGAGTCGAAGTTTCCCTGTTTAAGTAGGGCTTTACCCTTGCTCACTCATGCTGACCCCCTCCTCACCAGTTCTTGTAGAAGCGTCTTCGGCATTCATCACTTATATGTTCTGCAAAGATGGTTTTGAAATTTCTCAGCCCCCTTGGTGTCTCGATATAGCCCACTAGCCCAACAACCACCAATGGTGGAGTTTCGATGATAGTGACAGCTTCCACTTCCTCTCGCTTAGAGATTTCTGGAGATTAAAGGAGGAAAAAGACTGAGGATGTGATCCAGGAAGGCTTCGTGATGGGGCTCCCGTAACCAACTAAGCCATATGGTGATTTCTTTCCCACACCATGATTTATAGTTGTTTAGGGGACATGTGAAGCCTACCATTGTAAAATGTAAAAGAAGGGTTATGGCTAAATTGTTGCAAAAACCCAGGAAGTAGAGGTTTGTTCAATTAACAAAAAGCAACCACAGAGAAGCACAATATTTATGCAGCTTAGTGTATTTCCGATTTAATATCCATTGGTGAGGGCCTCTTTCCACACCAGCATTCTCAAACCATGTACCTTCTCTACATGAGTGGCAGTCCCAAAACTTCACGAGAGGCTGGTTTGGGTAGAGCTTTTCTACCAGACACTCCCCCAAAAATTTCCCCACACCAAGTCACATAAAGTGTCAGATACTTTCATTTTGTTCTGTCTTGGTCAGACCTTACCTTGAATACTCTGCCCTGTTCTGAGCACAATATTCTAGGAAGGATTGAAAGTGAAAGAGATCAAAGGAAGGAATGAGGAAGAGTAGAGGCTTTAGGAAGAGATAGATCAAAGGAACTAGGAATGTTTGGCCTTGAGAAGAGACCTGTGGTGGAAGGCAGTCTGGATTCCCAGGAGGGAGGGGCTGTATCCCAAAGAGGCAGCGGAACATGGAAAGTCTGATCAGGAGAAAGAGGGTTAAAACGGCTTCCCACCCCTCCAATGATTTCCAAAGTATATCCATAGTGATGCAAATAGTTGCTTTATTCTAGCAAGATTCTGTGAAGAGCAATACAAGAAACTGCTCTCAAGTAACTCCAGATGTTGTTCTTGGTTCTTGAAATCACATAAGGCGGCTGAAAGTAAGGATGGAACATGATAACACTTTTCAAGTCCCTGGAGATTTCCAATAAGCCAAGATCCTGCCAGCGTGTGGGACATGGAGTAACCTAGCCAAAGACAGAGCTGTGAGTCCTGCATTTGACTAGGAGAGCATCAGGAAACCTGGGTGGTAACTAGACAAAAAGACTAAAGAGAACAAGAAGCAAACCACTTCCTAAAAACATGGACGTAACCAGGAGTGGACTTACCTTGAGGAGGAGGGGGAGGAGGAGGGGGGTAGGAGGAGGAGGAGGAGGAGGAGGATATTACATTTGAAAACAAACTCTTACAAGAAAGAGTAGTTTGACAAAGAAACCAGTAACTAAGGAAACAGTGGTCTGCCGTTTTCTGGATGAGTTCAAAGAAAAGCCTGATAGTGGGTCACTTGTCAGGCATGCTCTAATTTGCATGGAGTTGGTGGCCACTGTAGCCCCTCCCAGTTGCTGAGGTGCATGAAACTTTCTAAGTGAGAAATAGAATTAAGCAAACTTGGCACATACTTAGTCCTGATCTATGAAGTTCCCGCAGGATGTGAGTCATGCCAGCTTTATAGCCCAGGAAGGCTGTCAGGTGGACTGGTCTGCTGGGATCATCCTTGGGCCAACTCTTCACTTTTCCTCGATGTCGGCAGCTCCTCTTATGAGGAAGGAAGCCCAGGTGGCCATGCCTGGGAGCTGAAAACTTCCGATGAGACTGGAAAAGTGGGGGGAGTTGGGGGGAAGAGTTACTATTGTGTTCTTGCAAAGATCATGAAAACCTTGAAAATCTCTAACCTTGTTAGAGAAGGCAGGAAATAAAACTCCCAAAGCATCTGGAGCAGAATGACATAAAAAAACTTGGATTCTCCCTAACTCAGCTCAGCAGACAGGCACGAAATGTAGGCTTGAGGCAACAGATTAAGAGTTATGATATTCAACTAGACCAGGCGTCCCTTTCTAAGGATAGATTACCAGTGAATTCCTTGACCTTCTTTAGAACCGCCAAATATTTAAACTAAACTATAATCTCCAAATACAAGAAGGCATTCTGTCTGGCTCTATACCAGGGATGGCTAAACTTTTTGTTGTTGGGTGCCAAAAATGTGAGCAGCAGACGCAATAGCACACCTGCGTGCTGGCACTCATAATGCAAACCATGCCCACACATGTGCATGCATGCACAATCTCCCTCACCTGCGCTGCACTGCTCGCCTCCAAGCTAAGCTTGGTATTTCCTTCGGGAGCCGGGGGAGGAAAGCCTCTGGAGCCTGGGGAGGGCAACAAATGGGTCCAATGGGCCTACCGGAAGTTCAGAAACGATCCATTTATGGCTTCTGGAGGGCTTCGGGGTGGCCAGAGGAGGCCATTTTCGCCTCCCCTGCTCCCAAGCCTCCAGGTGGCCTGGGGAAACGGATCCGGAAATGGATCATTTCCGAACTTCCTGTAGGCCTGTTGGGCCTGTTGTTCACCCTCCACTGGCTCGAGAGGCTTTCCTGAAGCCTGGGAAGGCCAAAAATTGGCCGGCACATGCATGTGTGCTGGAGCTGACAGATTGCCTGCTGGTAGATATGGTTCCATGTGCCACCTGCGGCAGGAGTGCCATGGGTTTGCTATCACGGATCTATACAGTAGAGGTCTCTTTTATTTTTGGATACATGTGATTCTGTTACTTTCAATATAGTAAAGTTATATATGTAAAATGCATAGCATAGCAATATGGTCAATTTATTTTATGATATCTTCTTTCATATATGGTATCGTTTTATTATGTATTTGTTACTGATTGCAGTAAAGATTCTATTCTATTCCAGGTTGAGGAAAGTCTGCTCCAGATGTGAAATCCTCTATTTTTAGCTTCAGGGGTGGGATTCTACCAATTCGGCTACCAAAGATCATCTGAGAGCGAAACGGTTCGCTCCAACCTACAGGTGGTCCCACCCGCCTCCCTGCCCCTGGGCTCACCTAGATTTCCTTGTCTTTTAGCCCAGGCGCGGCAGAGCCGATTGCCACACCTCTGCTGTTTTTGCCCACCTCAGCTGCAGTAGAAATTTTTTAGCTTTGTTTTAACCCTCTGCACATGTGCAAAGTGTGCTCTCAACAAACCAGTTGTTAGAGCCGTTGATTCACACCATTGGCTTTATTAGTTCCCACAACAAAGAAAAGGGTTTCTCTGCCCTATTCATACAATATGCTAAGTAAGTAAATGTGAGTAAACAAACAAGCAAGCAAATAAGTTAATAAACAAATAGGTCATATCCCCATTGGGTTCATGTAATAAACCTTGGCTGTCATCTCACAGTACTTGGCTTCCCATATGCCCTAAATCCGTCAACAAGCAAATCCCATTTTGGCCTTTGGGCTGGGTAAACAGAGTACTATTTCCTAAAAAGACACTAATTCACATGTTCCTTTGACATATTTTGCAGAGAATATTGTCACTTCAGAATCCAGTGAATTAAAGGCTCACTGAGGGAATAACTACACTCACATTTGCAACTCTTAAGTTGGTGTATTTCCCTAATGCTTCTTAATGAACAATCATTTTCTTCCCAACTCAGATACAATATGAAAAAGTGAAGTTCAACAAAACCTACTGAATTCCCTCCCCTAACCCTCCCCAACCTGGCTTAAGTTACAAATGTCTAACTCTGGCATCAAATATTACTTTTTAGTTACTACTCTAAGAACTGGGATACCCAGATATGAAGAGTTTGTACACTAAATTCTGCCTGTGACTTGCTTGGTCTGAGCATTCACACCAGGAGCCCTGTTCCTCTCTCCCAATTAGATTTCCACTTGGAGATTATGAACTACTTTAAGCAAAGATGGTCTGACGGCTCCAGAGCATTTCAATAATTTGGTACACAATTTCCAAGATGCTGTGTTCCTCCCCCCTACCCTCCCACTTAAGGTGCGATGAGCAGAGTCCTGCAGCAGAATAACAAAGTTGGAAAGGGCCTTGGAGGTTATCTAGTCCAACCCCTTGCTCAAGGAGGCTTATGCCATCCTGGATAAATGGTTGTCCAATCTCTGCTTACAAACCTCCAGTAAATGGAGCACCCATAATTTCTGGAGGAAGGCTAATGTTTAAGTTGAATTTAAATGCAAATAATATTGTCCTCTAGATATAGTTTGTAATCCACAAATGTATTTTTAAAAATGGCATATGAATAAAAGATGAAAAGAATAAAATCTCAGCTGAAAAGAAAAAAATGTATTTCAGCTGAGAGTAAAAAATGAAATATCAGCTTGGATCAGGTGTAAAAGATTATAGAAAAATAATAGTTTTTAATAATTCTGAAGAGATTCTTTCCTTTAAAAATGTTGTAGTCTTTATAGAAGGTAACGTGATAATTGCAGATGAATAGAATCTGCCCTGTCTTATTGCAGTTTGGGGCAGTTTTATTATCTTTATAAATCAATTTACAATCCTCATAAATTTGCAATCTTCCTTGTGGTTAATGTAAATAAGCCTTACCTTGAAACAGCCACAGAATCTCTAGTGTAAGCAAAGCCTTGCAGTGTAAACTAAGTCTTGAATAAAGGATCATTCAGTTTTCTCAGAATCATTCAATATATATAAAAATGTATATTCAGTTCATTCAGAATCATTTAGTTCATATAAAATATAAAGGTCGGTTCACAGGTTATTATATAATATGCAATGCTTATGATTGAAGGGAAAAAAACACATTTCCAAACAGATTTGCCACTATTTCATTTTTCAGTTATATCTTTGAAAATACAATTATATCCTTGAAAATATGTACAGTTAATGATTTAAAAACTATGTCGTTAATATTGAAAAAATTAAAGATGTTGTTGTTAGTCGCAAAGTCATGTCTGACCTATTGCGACCCCATGGACAACATTCCTCCAGGCCTTCCTGTCCTCTACCATTCCCCGGAGTCCACTTAAGCTCACACTGATTGCTGCAGTGACACCATCCAGCCACCTCCTTCTCTGTCGTCCCCTTCTTATTTTGCCCTCCATTGTGCCCACATGAGGCCCTTCTCCAGGGAGTCCCTCCTTCTCATTAGGTGGCCAAAGTATCTGTGTTTCCTCTTCAGGATCTGGCCTTCTAAAGAACAGTCAGGGTTGATCTCCTCTAGGACTGACCAGTTTGATCACCTTGCAGTCCAAGGGACTCGCAGGAGTCTTTTCCAGCACCAGAGTTCAAAGGCCCCCATTCCTTATGGTCCAACTTTCAGTCTTTATATAAAAGATAATAAATGCTGAAATGCTGTGATTTGTCTTCTCTCTTTCTACTGCTCAATTGAACTCACCACAGTAAAACTTCGCATCCAAATAAAACTTTGTTTTTCACAAACTTCTTGTATCCAACTACAGGTTTTTTTCCTTTCACTCATTTTCCTGTGGGTGCAATTCTATGCCTGGTTTTGATGCTTTTGAAGAAATAATTCCTGGTCATCAGTAAAGAAAGTAGTAGTTACATCTTTGCTTCTCATGCTTCATTCTATTCCATTTGTTTTCCAAGAGAATCACTTTAAAAAAATGATAAGATTTGGTTTCAAAGAGAAGGTGATGCTCCAAGGCAGGGAAAAGGATCTTGGGAAGAGACCCTTGTTTGAGGGAGCTATCTTTGCACTCTTCAAAATACTCTTGTCCTTTGAATACTTTGGGGAATGCAGGTCAGTTTGAGAACTGCTGATCTAAAAGACGTAATTGACAAAAGGCTACAAACTCAGATGTCCCTCTCACTCTGCACCCTGAACCAAATCTAGGTGTCATTTTGGATGCCCTGTTTAGGATTGAAACAGGGATTGAATTGGGGCTCCGTAAATTTGGCCCAGCCATGTTCCTTCAGTGTTGTTGAGCGACATTCCATTGAAATCTTTTGATCAAGAACTCCTAGCCAATCTTCATGATTCTGTGGCTGCTGTGCTGGAGGGAAAAGCGATGGACTCCGTTTCTGTACTAACGCAGCCTGTAAATGTGTGGTTTCTGTGGCTGCCTTCGTTACCAGCTGCACTTCTTACTTCCAGGAGTTCCTATTCTACTCTAGCATTTTGTATGGGCATAAAATATACAAAACCCCCTCCAAATCTCAACAAAATAGAATTGCCCGCCCCACAAACCCACAGGTACACGAAACCCTCTAGTGCAGATGTCAAGATTTGGTCTATACCAATTGCAGATATGAAAACCTCTGAGGAACGGAGCTGCAGCAGCTCACCTGCAGGTCCAGAGGTACACAGGTGGTGGCCTGATGGCTTTGAAGAAAATCTCCTGCAAAGAGCCTTTCTTCCCAGAGGGATCAGCTCCAAGAGGCAGGGAGAAAACTCATCTCAGTTCTTTGTGCAGCACATGTATTCATCATTTGCTATCTGGTGTTAATTCTGACCAGTCTGTATCTATTTTAAATTTGAGCCCTGTCATCATCAGCAGTGGATGCAAGACTGCTTATTGAAGGGAGAAAGGGAGTAGCACAAATAAGAAGCACCAAATCGGGAAGGGGAGACAATCTGATGTGGGGGGACACAGAAATCAGAACAGGAGGGAGAAAGCCCTGTCGATGCCTGCTGCAGAAAAGCAGAAGTGGGGATCCTCACTGGCCTTTCCTTGAAAGCCTCCTGCAAGCTATTGCTTTCAGACACCGACTGCCCCCCCACTCCCCCCCCACAGTCCCACAAAGGCCAGGCCCATTGCTTGCCAGTACCATGATCCGACGTCTTCAGCCGAGGCTGCCCGAGAGAAAGAGGCTACCAGCAAGTGCCTGGCTTGCCTAATGCCAAAGATGTTTCTCTCTCCCCAAGACATAAATTTAGCAACTGGCTTCATTCTGGTGCACTATCCATTTCACCCGGGGGGGGGGGGAGGGAGCTGACAGGGGTCCAGCATGTTGGGAGGGAGAGGAAAGGTCACGCTCAACAAATAGATCACCCACCACCAGCTACGGCCTCCCCGGAGGCAACTCCACTTCTTAGTGCAGCCCACCCCACAGCCAAGCTCCCCTGGGGGGAGGCATGTGGCCCCCAATGGCTTGGTCTAAAAAAGCATCTTGCACAAAGGCTTCTCTTTTACCCTGTTGAAGAAAGAGTGGGAGTGGGCCTGGAGCAATTTCTCCCTGTACCAAGACTTCCTTCCAATCTGAAAAAACATCCCCCTCTGGCCCAAAGCAAGTGGGCTTCTGCCAGGTTGTCAAGATACAAGAGCCCTGGGGGTTCCCTTCCCTACCTTCAGATTTCTTCATATTAAAAGGATTTGTAGCATCAACAAGGTTTTTCTTTCTTTCTAAAAGTGCAAATGTTTAAATCTTTGCCAAGAATCTGTAGGGAGGCATTTCTTGTGGTTTTATTAGCTCCGGAATAAATGAAAACATTCAACAAATTCAACATTCTTCATCCAAAAACACGTTCATATACACTCCCTACTCATTCATCTTTGGCTTCTGGGGCTACACAAGAGACCAGCCGTCGTTAGAGCGTCTGTGCCCGCTTGACATGGCATTAAAGCCCAGGTGTGACTTAGGCAAACAGGTGCCAAGACTGAGGGGAGGGGAAATGAATGGCACCGGGGCCATCGAGACGGCTCTTCGGCCTTTCGCCGCATTCCAGTCTTTTCACTCTTCCCCTCCCGGCGCTCCGGGCTTCATCAATCGTAGCGCTTAGTTCGTGCAGCAGAATCAGGCTCGACACCCACCCCCCCGTTTCCCCTTCCTCTTCCTCCAAAGGGGCACCTGATGCGGCGAGGGGCTCCTGGCTTCTTCGGAGCCCCCAGAGCTGGGCTGCGGCCAAAGGGCGGCCCCGGCTGGCAGCCAAGACCCGGAGGGCGCCATTGGCAGCCCCGATCCGAGCCTCGGCTGGCGGCTCTTGCACCCGCAGTGGGGGGGTGGGTGGAGCGATGGGGGTCTCCCAGAAGGAAACCCGCCTTTCTCACGGGGCTCCTTTCCGAAGCGCCGGTGCAGAAGAGGGAAGCAGAGGCTCTCGGTAAAGCCTGCCTCTTTCTTCCTCAGCCCCAACCCGCAGTAAGCCGACACCGTCCAGCTGAGGAAGGCGGGGAAGAAGCTCCGTCGGGCGGGCGCCACAGCGGACCTCAGCGGGAGAAACACGGCGGGGAGCTCTCTGACGTCCCCTACTGGGCTCGTCGCGTCGGCCTCAAAATTAAACGCCGGACCGGAACGCCCACGGCAAACGCAGACCCCCCCTCGGCGCGCAGGCGCACAAACGCCTCCCCACCGATTGGCCGGCGGAAAACGATTCTTGCTATTATACGCACGCGCACTTGTCTCCCGCCGCCATTTTGTCCGGTCTGGCGTCCCGGAGGCTGAGGAGATGTCGAAGGACTCGGAGCGGGCCGCGTACAACTTGCCCCCAATCGACGTTCCGGAGCCTGAACCCTTGGTGCCCTCTTCCGGCCCGACTCTCTTCTTCGAGAAGCTCTTTTACTACACGGTAGACAGACCGGTCACCCTGTACAGAGGTGAGGAGGAGGGGCAGGAGCTCCTGGAAGGTGCTTTCGCTACTACAACTCCCGTCACCCTCAGCCGTAGCAGTTGGAAGGCAGGGCTTCTTTCAGGCGTCTGCACTTCGGCTCCCACAATTCCGCAGCTGCATGACTATCGGTGAGGATTCTGGGAGCCGAAGTCCACGTACCCTGCAGTTGCCAAGGTTGGGGAAGCTCTGGCCTGACCGGCTGAGGCTCCGCTCCAACTGCAGCGCCTTCCCCGCTTGGGGAGGAAGGGAGGGAGGCCGGGCCCGACCCGGGGCATTTCGGAGCCGGCGGGCCCCATCGCGCGTCTTCTGCAGAGACCAGCGGCTGACTCGGATTGCTTGCCTGCCCTTGAGGCTCCGTCGGGCAGAAACGAGACGCAGGGGATGAAAAGCAACGGTGAGCCGGTGTCAAGCGGGTTTCATTCCTTAAGCCGGGCGTGCCGCTGGTGTCCACTTGGAAGTTCAGATCTGGAGCGGGGCAGCCTTTTCAGGGCGGCTGCCTAGAAATCAGGCCCACCGAGTTGCTTTCTTGCTTGCCTATGAATCGGACTGCTGCTGTGAAGAATATCAGAAGCCACTTCTTTCATTCCTATCCCTCTTCCATTTTCTTTTCTTCCCCCTCTTTCTCTCTGATTTCTCATTTCTTCCTCACTAAACATTGGCTTCTTAGTTTTTATCTTCTTGTGAATAGTTTTAATATAAATTGTGTACAAAAGGCAAGCTGTCTTAAGGTGCTAGTGATCATATTTAACCTCGCTGATTAAAGAGCTCTCTAGCTCCTGTCTGGAATGTGCTTATTTTTTCTTTTAACAGAATGGATTGAACGCCAGCGTTCAAACAATAAGATTTATTACTATCACCGGGAGTTCCGCCGTGTGCCGGACATTACAGAATGCTTGGAGGATGACTACCTGTGCATCTACGAAGCTGAGATGCAGTGGAAAAGAGATTTGTATGTCTGTATCTTTCCCGAGTTCAGCTCGAATGACCTGTTATTCAGGACACTGTTATCTGCAGCCTTATGTGCTTAAATTACTTGAAGTATTTTGTAGCCTGTTAGGTCAGTGTTTTTCAACCACTGTGCCGTGGCACACTAGTGTGCCGTGACATAGTGTAAGGTGTGCCGTGGGA